ACTTAAATATTTAAAACTCAGCCTCCAGGTATGCGCGGTTTTCACGTACGGGCACCTAAGACTTTTTGGCGGAAGAACTGCTTAATGAACAGTTAGGTCATTTTCAATGAACAATTGTTAAGCGGAAATTTTTCATTTCCTTTATGCAAAATTTACGGTGATTTACGCTGCTGAGCGCAAGGGATTGATGTAAAGCAACAACCATTCATGAGTTGACGACCCGAGTACTTCAAGTGTGGTGCAAAAGTGTATTGTCGCACCGGCAAGCTTGGTGCATTCCAGCCTGGGTTTATGGATATTATAACTAAAACCTACCAAACCGTTGAGCTACTAATCCGTTTAGAGGAGGAAACGAACACAAAGGCTCCCAGTAGGCTGACTGTCGGGGCAGGCAGTACTGGTCAAAGCAAGTCGAAAAGTTGCTAGCTGCATAGCTGGAGTGATCTGCAGTGATCTGCGGCTGAAACAGCGTTGAATAAAAACAATAATGTGAAATTCAGGGAGTAAAAATCCTAGCAAATTTTTATTTTTTCCGAGCAATTTCAAGACACTTTTATTGACAGGCATGACATAGTGGGATAGCATTGTTGTCGTGCATTAGGGTGAAGGTTTGACTCTGCCAATGACACAACCATTTCTTATACGATTAGTTTGGGTGGTAGATTGGTACTGGCATATGCCGAGGAGTCAGACTCGCCATCAACTTGCTTGTAAGCAGCTTTCAGAGATAACCATCCGTAGCTTTGTCAGCGGTTGATTACTGCTGGCATTTGCTACCACTTCCGCTACTTCTGAGGCTTGCTTCTTTCACTGAAAGCTTTTGTAATCCATAATTTGACTCCCTTTTTTTGCTAAACTTGAGATTACTGTATTCTCAAGCTGTGTCCGTTTTGATTCTGTCTGTTTTGTTTGATATTACGGCCCTGTAAGAAAGGGATGCTCCGTCTTATTCACAGATAAGCCAAAAGACAAATTCTCGGCATATGCTAGTACCAATTTACCGCCGAAATGAATGAACGAATCATAGAGGGATTAATTGTTCCAGTAGTGAACACCAACTCTCTGCCTTCTGCATCAAGTCAATTAGCTTTACAAAAATCGAATGAGCCATTATTCTGAGACTAAAGAGAAATAAAGGATCAGTGACAGACGAAAGCCATTTGATGCCGTTCGCTTACATTCTGAGTAGCATTTTTTCAGCTAGAAATGTGGCGGCGAAATATATGTGAAGAACTTCAGTTCCGCGATTTCATGAAGGAAATTCCAGCTCCGTACAATAGTAAGTTTACAGCAAGCGTTCCATTAAACTTTCTAGTGGTCACTTCTAGGGGTGTATCCATTCAGCTGGGGTACTCCTTTCCTCATTTTCGTTACTAGGAAATGCCAGTGTCATGCAGCTGGGATGGTATGGTACGGTTTGTCAGGAAGGCGCGAAATTCAGCTAGGAAAATGCAGTTTCGGTCGTGAAAGTACAGAGTACAACTGAGTTCTTGTTACGAGTTAATTTTTTTTTTTTGCGTTTTTGCATCAACTTTTTTTTTTGCACTTTTTTCGCAACATTTCGCAAAAATTTTGCAACTTCTGCAACAAATTTTTCTTTCGCAGTTTTTTGCAACAAATTTTTCTTTTGCAATTTTTTGCAACTTTTGCAACAAATTTTTCTTTTTTTGCAATTTTTTGCAACTTTTGCAACAAAACAACAAACCAGTTTTGCAACAGAATTTGCACCAATTAGAAGGTGTAAAATATAGACAAAAAGACATTAAACCAGAACTGGAGTGAAAATCGAGCAAATATGCACAAATTACCTGATAAAATACCTTATTTGAAACAAAAACAAGACAAGTACGCCACCGTTGTACTTGTTTTCTCCGAATTAATTCGATACCTGTTTTTTCACCATGTAATTTTTTTGGTTTTCTGAAAGTGTGTTTTCAGGTGATCCATCCCTTGCTCGTCGTATATTTAATTTCCTTCAGCGCTTTGGTTATATAAATGTGGGTATTTTCACATCTTCCGGTCGTAAGTTTTACTGTTATGTTCTATAATTTTTGATCTATAATTTTTTGAACTATAATTTTTTGACTTTTTGAAGTGCATGGTATTGAATTTGATGTTCGAATCGCATTTTCTGAAATTCTTCTTTATGTATGGATAGCAACTTAATTTTGCATAATCCATTTTACAGCATATTTGCTTCGTTTTATTCGTTTTTTTTTCAGTGAAAAAAATGTTATCTTTTCAGCGCCACTGAAGCCTTATCAGAAACGTGTGGTAGTAATTGGTGCGGGCATCGCTGGCATTATAGCAGCACGACAGTTGAAGCGTTTTGGTTTGGATGTGGTAGTACTAGAAGCCCGAGTAAGCCGTTTCTTCATGCCCTTTGTCAGCAGTCATTTTGGCCCTCAAGACCTTTCCTATTAATGCAACATTTCCTATTTTCATGCGTTTTTTGCAGCTATGCAATGCAGAAAACACATGTTGACGAGGGGTTGTCTCTGTGTCTGTGTGTGCGTCTGTCATGGTTTTTCATCTCAAGACCTACAAAAGCTACAGAGCTGAAACTTTAGGAACTTAATCTACATGCACGTACGGATCCCATTCTCCAAAATGAGTGCCATTATTAGCGTGGTACCTGCGTACGGACCCGCCAAAATTTTTTTCGGGAAAGTTCATAATTCTGGGATCTGAGAAGCTAGAAAGCTGAAATCTTAAAATGATGTTCCCCGTCTAAGCAGGTATTAATGAGCTCAAACCCAGCGCACGGGCAAGCGTGGTACCTACGTACGAGTCCGCCAAAGTTTTTTTGGGCAAGTTGATAACTCGAGTACCTGGGAAGCTAAAGGATTGTGATTTTAAGAGGATATTCCCCTTCCATCTAAGTCTTATTTAGCTCAAACCCAACCCTCGGGTATGCGTGGTACCCACGCACGGACTCACCAAATTTCGGTAAATTGCTAGCTCGAGAACCTGAAAAGCTAGAAGACTGTAGTTTTCAGATGTTCCCTGTCTACGTAAGTCTCAACGAGCTCGAACCCAGACATCCAGTATGCGTGGTACCCGCGTGCGGACTCGTGAAAGTTTTTTCCAGTAAGTTGCTAACTCAGGAACCAGGAAAGCCAGAAAGCTGAAATTTTAAGGGGTGTTTCCTGACAGTTTTGGCGGCCAGTATTAATTTGTTTAGCTAGAAGCATTTGCCGAAAAAACCAGTGCCGGTAGCGACAAAAACTGCTGGGAACTATGCATAAAACGCATCTTCGCACATGCAGCCCGTGCGTTGGCCAATTATTTCCTCCTCTCTGAGCTGTTCTACTGAAGTCCACTGTGTATGCAGACTTATTGACTAGAATGAATTTGAGCTCAGTATAAAATTTTTTAGCTTCGACGTTTTCGCTGGCCATAGTGAGGAAAAACATGAATGATTTTGAAGGGTTTGCTGCAACTTAGTTTGAGAAAAAATATTTCGATTCTTGGCGAGTAAAACTGAAAAAAAAAATTTACGAATCCCTTTTTTTACTGGCGATAAACGTGGCAGGCTAACATTTCTGTGTTGTTCTCCTTTGCTGGACAAAAAAATCATTTCACCATCCAGGTTTTGATGTGTTCGGCCTTTCGCCGTGTTTTAAACATTTCGAGAACATCGCATGGTATTTTATCAGCATTCCGGAGGGGACGGTCGCGGGCTCATCTCTTGACAGCTACTACAGTTATAGATATATGCAATCTATATCGTCTCTTATTGGCATTTTTTGGTTACTTGAAATTCTCGGCAGATACTCGCTGACCAGTTGCGGCTTCTCTGCCTTAGACTTGGTGAGAAGATATGTTGGGCAGCGCGGCCCGCTATTTTCTTCATCCCATACTTTTCTGAATGCTGTTGCTGTTGCATTATTTTTTGCTGGTTAGGTTAACAGTGCCCAAAACTGTCCAGGCTTAGCCGAGCAGAATCTGGCATCGTGTTTGCTCGGCATTTATAAACCTATTAAGTTTTTTTTCCCATGACATCTCGATATTGCGAAGTCAGCTGCCGCACCCACACCACAATGCAGTGAATGTATCAAAAGTTTGTAGGAGGCAAAAGATCATTGTTAAAAATATCTTTAAAATTCTCGTACTGCCATGTTAGCCAGGCGGAAAAGAGCTGCTTCTTTCTAATTTCTTTATCTGTTTCATTTGTGGGATATGCAAAACAAGCAAATAAAATGTCCAGTTAAAGTTGCCTCTGTTTTAGAACCGCATTGGTGGCCGTATAGCAACGCATATTAAATCAGAGATCAATCCGGAGAATCCAGAAGACGAGCGAAAAAGCAAGAGGACCGTGATAGAATTGGGCGCCTCGTACATTTATGACTCATGTATGGTTGCACACTCTAAATTACTTTATACAGCGCAGTGAGGCATACCCTTAATTTAGTATTTCTTGCTCAATTTCGTATTCTTTTTCTTAAATAATACCGTTTTTCAAAATCTGGCCTTTTTTTGTTTTAAAATTCGTGTTTTTTTGAGTGCTTTTCTGTTTTACAAGGCTAGTTTTCGCATCTTGAGAAATTTCACGACTATTTTGGCTTACTTTTGCACTCTTTTATCTGTCTTCCCGCTACAGTCTTACAACCTGACCCCCCTGTTACAGCCCTAGCTCAATTTTCCTGTCTTTCCTTTCCATACGAATGCATCTGGGTGGATTGGTACAGAAAATCGATCGCTTTTCCTTCCTATTTTCTGAGCACGTCACGGAAATACCCGCTGCGGTATCAAATAATAACGCGAAACGTTTACATAGGGCAGTGTGTGAAAATGCTTTATCAGTCAGCTGATATGAGTTTTGCAGATGTCAATCCGCTTATGACGCTTGTAAGCCAAACGGATGTCACGTGTGGATTCGCCCCTTTTCTTGAATCGTATCCTGTGTACGACTATAGAGGAAAAGCTGTATGTTATCGAATTACAAGAATATTTTCCAATTGACTGAAAACTAAGGATTACTTCTTGACAATTTTAAACACATTTCGAAAAAAACATCACTGCATTTTTTTTCGTCGAATATTTTCAACATAATTTTTAAAATTTTTACTTTTGTCGATTTGGACATTTATAAAATTTAGTTAATTTAAGTTGATATTCTAGATAAGTCCAGGG